CATGCATGAAACCCAGGGCTTGATCCACAGGACTGCATAAAACCAACCCTACAGATCTGTCACCCAGCGCTCAAGAGGCAGAAGCAGGAGGATCAGAAGTTCAAGATCATCCTCAGCTACAAAGTGAATTTGAAACCAGCCTGAGCTATTTGAGACCCTCATGCGGCTCCTCGAAAGGTGAAAATCAAATGTCACATGCCCTCCCCCAACAAACACCCTCAAAATGGACCATATACCTACAATAGAATGCAGGAGACATTAATTTTGCTGTGATCTTGGATTAAGCAAAGATTCCACTTAATATTAAAACAAATTTTCTGAAAAAAAATAGAAAATTTCGTAAAATATATCTCCATTAAATTTAATGTGATTTATCAGGGCCTGGTGGTGCAGGACTGTGATACCACTGCTCGAGAGGCTGAGGGAGGAGGATAGGAACTTCAAGACCTACTTAGAAAGACAGGAGGCAGAGGCAGGCAGATTTCTGTGAGTGCAAAGCCAGAATGGTCTATAAAGCTAGTTCTAGGACATCCAGGATTTCACAGAGAAACCCGGTCTCAAAACAACAAGCAACAACAATGACAAAAAAAAAATCATTTATTAAAAAAAAAAGTTAAAAGATCTGGGGGGCTGACAATGGCTCAGCAGGTGAAGGACTTGAGTTCAGTCTCTGGAAAGAACTGACTCCCGTAAATTGTCCTCTGACCTCCACATGCACACACGGAAAGACAGGGACACATACACATCACACTAAAATAAAAATATAATCTAAAGCAAGCCGGGCGGTGGTGGTACACGCCTTTAATCCCAGTACTAGGGAGGCAGAGGCAGGGGGATCTCTAGGAGCTCGAGGCCAGCCTGGTCTACAAGAGCTAGTTCCGGGACAGGCACCAAAGTTACAGAGAAACCCTGTCTCGAAAAAAAAAAAAATATATATATATATATATATATATACATATACATATATATATATATATATAATCTAAAAAGTAAAAACAAAAGAATTCTGGGGCTATAACTCAACAGTACAGCACGCTCCAGCACGTGTAAGGCCCTGGTACTGAAAGAGAGAGAGAGAGAGAGACAGAGACAGAGAGAGAGAGAGAGAGAGAGAGAGATTGAGATTGAGTGTGCACACTGTGAGGTGGCCCAGCAGGTAAAGGTGATTGCCACCACCAAGTCTGATGACCTCAGCACCCACATAGTGGAAAGAGAGAACAGACTCTCCCAAGCTATCCTCTGGCCTCCACGTGTGTGCCGTAGTGCACACGCAGGTAAAGACACACAACAAACAAATAGTAAGTGAATACATGTAAAGAGAATGACGACAACTCACTAAAATGCCTTTTCTTTAACCAAGATGAAAACCCAAGTCCCTCAACAGAGGAAAGCACCGCAGCTGACCTATTAACACTACGCTTTCAGCATCTAGAATTTCAGGAAAATAATGTTTTCATGTGGGCATTGGGGAGAGAACCCGGGGCCTCATTTATGCTGGGCCGGTATTCCGTCACAGAGCTAGAACCACTCTCCTGTCCCCAAATGAATTTCTATTGCTTAAAAAAGAAAAGGACGAGGTCATCAAAATTAAAGTCCCCTCAGGACTCTGCATTATTCAGAGAGAGAGTAGCAAACCTTGTCGGCTTCAGACTAAGTCAAGTCTGCACATTAAAATTACAGGAGTAACCATAAAGAATAAAACGGAATATGTAACTGTCAAACCAGCGTGGGATTTTGCAGAGAGAAGAATAAAGCAAACTCAATCAATCCAAAGACAGCAGCAAAGGAACAGAAAAGCGCCAACTTCTGCTAGGTGTGCTGACATAAACCTGTCATCAGTGCTCACGAGGCTGAGGCAGGAGGATGGTCACAAGTTCAAAGCCAGCCTGGGCTACACAGCAATGATAAGCCAGCCTGTGTTACATAGTGAGAACCTATCATAACACAAATGAAAGACAGACCAACAGACAGACATAAGGAAAAGAAGAAAAGCATCATATAAAGCTGGAGAGAACGAGACAAGATGGCTCAGCTGGTGACGGTGCTTGCCACCAAGCCTGACAACGAAAGTTTAATCTCTGGGATCCACATGGTGAAAGAACCAGTTCTTCCTCCATGTCATCTGACCTCCACACATGCGCCCCAGCATGCACTCCCATACCCCAGCAGAATAAATGGAAGGCTCTCAAAGTAAGATGATAGAAATAAATGCAAGCCTATCAGCAATCACAATAAATATAAATGTACAAAACTCTCAGGCAATTACCGAATGGATGTAAGAGCAAATCTATTTAAAAAGACCTACCTGAAACATATGGGAGAAAACGCTTTAAAGCCAAAGACGGAAAGGGATGTGCAAGGCAAATACTAAAGAGAAAAAGCCACCCAGGAGGAAAAGCATCATTAGAGATAAGAGGGCAGCATCTCTGGTGCTTTAAGCCTCTCCCTCCTCTTCTGTAAAGCAAAGGCTCGAAGTCACACCTCCAGGAGAAACATGCCAAGTATATACACTGTTAGATAATGTAAAGTGGGAGGAAGAGAGAGGGGAGGAGGAAGGCGAGGAATAGGAAATGTTTGGAAGGTTTAGATTCAAATTTCAGAACAGTTGGAGATCTGAATAAAAGAAAGTAAAGAAAGGTTTCCTAGGATCGTCTGGGAAGGAAGACATCTAGGCAGGAACAAAGGCTTAAGTCCCAAGGCTGGCATCGAACACCCGTGTCTGGGGAGCAGGCGGGGGGGTAGTGTGGTGGAGGAAGGGAAGGGAGCGTGCTGGAAGATGGACAGGAGTTAACACCAGCCGGCTCATACAGGGCTCTGTAAGCTGCACTAAAGCCCCGGGCGGCTACTCTGAGCAAGGCGAGGGCTCTGAGTGGGAAGGTAAATAGCTGTCGTTATATTTTTAAATAATTATTCTGGCTACACTGACAGAGAATGAGCTGGAGTCAAGACCAACAAGAAGGCAGTGCGACAGCCCTGACCAAGACGAGGGGGAGAGGGAGGGACGGGGGACGACTTGCAGTGAAGTTGGTACAGGGTGGATGGGGCCAGAAATACCGTGAACAGGATTGGCTGAAGGACCGAAGGAGACAGCATATGTAACAGAGAGAACAGTCTGACTCCATGGATTGCGGGTATAACCCTGTGATGGCATGTGTGCTCAACAAGAGAAAGGCTCTGAGTTCAATCACAGCTCTGGAAGGAAGGAATAGAGGGAAATAGGGAGGGAGGGAAGGAAGAAGGAAGGGAAGGAGGGAGAGAGGAAAGAAAGACCAAAAAAGACTGACTTCAGACTTTCAGACCATAAAGTCCTAGAAAAACAAGCCTGCCATTATCTGAAAAGGAGATGACAGTGGATGGAGCATAGCTCTGAGGAGGAGGAGAACTGGGGGTGTCTGTAGCAGCCATCCAAGAGTGTTCCAGTACACGGTTCCATGCACACGCCTGGTCTCTCAGGGAGGCTTCTGGAGCTATGCATCTGGGAGTCAACAGGCTCTCAGTAATACTCAAAGCTACAAGCCTGGATGAGGTCACCTACAGACTGGGCGCTGAAAGCGGAGCAGGGACAGAGCCCCAGAAAACTCCAGTGGTGACATCCTGAGACGCAGATTGAGAATTAGCCTTCGTCAGGGGGAGGGGAAGGGGGCGTGGCACCCAAAAAGCCACCAGAGAAAAGTGTCCCAGGAAGAAGGGTCGTGGACTATGTTAGATGTCACTGATCGTCAAGGAACACGAAGACTGGGTATTAACTAGTGCACTGGGAGCAGAGGCTGGCTTGATGCAGAGAGACAGCTGTGCCAAATCGGAATCCGACTGAGGAAACGGAACAAAGGAAGGGGTTCTGAGAGGCTGCCGAGGCTCACAATAGGAGCCGATGGACGGTCTTCTGCATGGCTTTTTGCATTTCTCTCTCCACACCCCCCCCCCCCAGCAAACAGTAAAAATAGCTAACCTTTACTGAGCACTGGCTATGTGCCAAGAGCGCTATTATGATGCCTATTTTGAAAGAGGGAAGGAAGGGGCTCAAAAGTCATGTAACTTGCCCCAGGTCACTCGGCTGGTAAGTAGTACAGCCTCCATTCAACCCTATCCCCTACATTCAAATATCAGCTACCACGGCCTCCATTTCATGAAAAAGAAGGCCCACGCTTTATAGAAACCACTTTATTCTTTTTGAGAGAGAGTTTCCTGGACCCCAGAATGGCCTCCAACTCACTGGGTAACTGAGGATGACCTTAAACTATCGATCTGTCTGCGGAGACAGGCATGGGCCACCACACGCAGTTTTATGCAGCACGGGGATCGAACCCAGGACTTGGTGCATGCTAGGCAAGCCCTTTGATAACTGAGCAACATCGCCAGCCTGGGAACTCAGTTTTATAAAACATCAGTTTGGAGCCAGTACTTCACATTTGAATGATGTTTTCTGCTGAATTTCCACAAATCCCCTGAGAGTTATCTTATACTAACACCGTCCTTTGTCCTTTGGTTTTGTTTGAGATTAGAGTCTTACTAGTAGCCAGGGTTGGCCTTGAACTCACGATCCAAGATTACAAGAGTGCTGGGATTACAAGCGTGTGCCAGTATTTCTAGTTTGCTCTTACCATCCCAAAGACCAGAAACAGAGGCGTTGAAAGGGAAGGTAGTCCAAGGGAATGGAGGTCGTGGCGGCAGAACTTAGACCCAGACAGCCTGGGAGACTTCAGCTCTGCCCCTGTCTTGTCTGTACCTTTCACTTATGAGTCTGGTGCTGTCAGGCCTGAAGAGGGCCCGAGAGCCAGAGAAATGATGCTGTCCTTTCCCGCACACTCACCACTTTGACCACACTTGGTGGGTTCTTGGGGATCCCCAAGAAGCTCTCAAAGTCATAGGCAGTTTCAAGGTTTCCCTAGAACCAGGCTTGCTTTCCTTCCAAGGACAGACTGACATCGCAGTGTAGACAGAACACAGAGCTGACTTCCCTTTCTTACCCTTCCCTCTGAATAGACAGGGCTACCCCCTACCTGTCCAGTGGTGAGGGAACGGCTGTAGCCAGGGATGGAACTCCGGGGATGGATCCGGGGTGGGACACAGCAGCTGCAAAGAGCAGATGCCAGAGTCAGAATGGGAGTGTGCTGGGGAGAGGGGTGTGATAATATTAGAGCCTCTGACTAGGTTCTGTACCTCTTAACAACCCCCCCAACAAAAAGACTCCCCAGGAGACTTAGGGTAAAAGGTCTCTTCCCCCCCCCCAACAGAAACACTAAGACAGAGACGGACTCCACCCCCATATGGAGCAGAGCAAGCTGGTCTGTTGAACCCTAAGCAGGGCTACCCATGCAAAACCCACGACATACAGTTCCCGCAGGAACTCAGAATCATCTCCAACACCCCCGCCCCCACCGTCCTTACTTGATCCTGGCTGTGTCCACGCTGGAAGAGCGGCGGGAGGCAAAGCGTCGGGCGAGTGCTTTGGGAGATGTCTTGGGGCTACCGTCTGAGTCTCCGCTCTCCTCATCCCCCATGGCTTTGATATAGCTGCCGCTCCGCATCCTGCGACAGGGGATCTCCCCATCCTTGCCACCCGTGGGGTAACCCCCCCAGTCATCTTGCGGCACCTGAAAGGACAAGGGCCTCTACCTCTCAGACAAGTCATCCTCCAGCTCAGAGGAGAGGGTGTTCTTCCTCCCACCGCCAGCAAGAGGCGCTCCGTCCTGCTGGGGGAACAAGTTACACTGGAGAGTATCACGAAGGACCTAGATGGGATGTCTTAGGGTGTTCCTCTCCCTTGTGGGAGTTGTCACGTCATCCTCCAGAGACCTTTTAGCCACTCAGCAGAAGGTCAGCTAAAGAGCCTATGAGTGACAGATCGGATGCCAAGACGTCGAAGCCCGGAGGCCTGAGTGACCTGTCAATCATCTCCCCCTATGTCCAGCATCACCTGACCTAGGTCACCTTTCGCCTCTCCTCTTCATCCTGTTAACATGTTTCTGCTCCCTATCCTCTGACTCTCTCCCAGCCCTCCGGGAACTACAGAGGGTATTAGGCAGGGGGAGTCTAGGCACTTTCCGCGGTCTAGACCGAGGCTACATGGTCAGGAGGTCAGGGCCCAGGCAGAAGCTCAAGTGGCAGGAGGGAAGCTAATTAGGCGGCTGAGGCTGTTATGCAGGCAAGGGATGATGCGGCCTAAATGAAGACAATGAGAATAAGGGGGAGAGGAGGAGAGGAGGGCGCTGTAGAGGTGGCGAGAGCATCAGTGAGCCTGATTAGCGGGGGAAGGAAGAGGAGCCGAGAGGAGCCCACGATGGCTGAGAAGGGTGCCGGCTAAGGACCTGGGCGTGGGGGTACTGTCCTCCTCTGAGCCGCAGAACTCATTTGGGACAAAGGGGTGACGGGTTCAGTGTTGAGTACCCTGAGTCTGGCCTAGAACTGAGGTGCTTGTTATGCTTAGTCTTGGGGTTTGCTGGGGGGAGGTGGGCTAGAGGCAGACACGCAGAGAGCAAGGGTGGCAGCCAGATGCCCAGGAGTAAAGGAGACCCCTTGGGGGTAGGGGGGGGGCTGCGGATAGACCCACTGGCATTTTAAAAAGGACTGCAAAGAAAAGAAAGGGGGACCGTGACATCACCCGAGAAGGAGTGGGCAGAGGGGTAGGAGGGAGTCAGGAGAATGCCATGTCACAGAAACGAGACATTTCGGGAAGAAAAGGAGTCAATTGTGTCAAATGCCACAGTGCTCTCCGAGGTGAGTAACTTGTGCTCTGGAGTTAGGAGACCCGGTGCAAAGGCTTGCCCTGGCGCTTGCTAGCTAGGTGAACTTGAGCTAAGCTAATTATAAGCGCCAAGTATCAGTTTCCCGGTCGGTAAATTGGGAAAAGTAATTATACCTGCATCAGAACGGTTGGTGGGAAGGATAAACAAGCAACAGAGAACGCCCAGCACACGGGAACCACTCAGTAAATGGTGGCTATTATTATAGGCATTGAAGGCACTGTTGGGCGCTGCGGTCCAAAGACCACTGGTGACCGCGGCCCAGGGCACTTTCAAGGGCAGGGTGTGGAAATCTGACTGCGCTGGAAACTGAAGGGAAGCGAGGAGAGAAATCTACACTCCACGGACTGTAGACAGGGATGACAGGACGTGGTAGGGGGCGAGGGTCTGGAGAAATGTCTCAGGATAAAAGCAGCTGTGGGTGCATTTTCAAGAGAGCCAGTCAAGAACGTCTCTAACAACAGGGGCAGCAGAGGGGTGAAGGGGCTGAGGAGCCCTGGTGGAGGAGGGAGGGACCAACCCGGCATGGGTTGGAGTCCATGATGGTGACCTAGGCTGTGAAGATGAGATATAAGGAGAGACGGCTGGGGAGGCAGCAGGGACATAAAGCATAGGGTAGACGGAAGCGGTTAAACAGGGCGGGTCTGGAGGCTCCAAGAGGAGCAAGGCTGAGCGAGGGGGGACTCACGGGAAGGCTGAAGGTGCAGGGTGATACTCATGGCTCATGGCTCACTGAGCGGCCAGAGCTCCATCAGAAGGAAGATGGGAGCAGAAAAGAAATGAATGAAGCTCTGAGGGGGAAGCGGGGATCCAGAAAAGACTCAGAGTATCCAGTGAGAGAAACCGGGCTCTGTTAAAGGGGCAGGAAGCTGGGTGTGGCAATGTATTACTGCTCACTGTAGGTGGAGGCAGATGGAGACAACTCGGGCTAGACAGTCAGTTGGAGGCCACCCTGGGATACATGAGACCCTATCTTAAAAAGAAAAAAGAAAAAAAGAGGAGGTACTATCCCAGTGAAGACACCAGGTCAGGTCTCACAGTCAGAGAGCCACCTCCCCCATCCCCCACTTCTGTGCCAGGAAAGCATAGGCTGTTTTGGAAAGGTCCACGCAGCCTTCAGTTCACCCACAAATGGGCTCAAGCCCCCACCCGAGCCCCATCCTGTTAGGATGCTCTGGAACCCCAGGCTCTGAGTGCCATCCCCGCCCCCATCCTCTACAGAGAGGAGTGGCGGGAGGCCAGCGAATGGGACAGCCAGGGCGCGCACCGCCACACTGCAGCGCTCCCACTCCGGCCACTGCGGAGCTCCTTGCTCCTCCGCAGGACACTGTGAGGAGCATGTTAAAAAGGAAGCCCCCAGGGAGGTCAGGACAACCCCGGAGCAGCGGCAGGGAGCAGCAAAAAACGGTAGCCAGGTCTGGTGCCGGGGGAGGAGGGGCACCTGCCACCCAGGAGGGAGCAGTCTGAAGCTGACCCACACAGCTCAGATCCCAGATGTCTAGTCCTGTTTTTCCTATGGTCCAGTCTGCTCTCTTGGGCTTCCATGAGATTCCCCCAGGAGGGTACTAACGTGAGTACAACCGACAGGCAAGGCCAACGTCACCCCAAAGGCTCACGCAAGCTCACCTCTCCATGCCTTCCGACACGCTGGAGGATCTTTCTGGAACACCTTCGATCTGCACTTGACTAACTCCAGCTCCTTACAGAGATTCAGCTCTGGAGCCATTCTGCACAGAAGCTTCTCCCAGCCGGCCCTAGCCACCACCCACAGGTGAGCAAGGAGCCTTCTCTGTGTTCCCACAAGACCCAGGATTCTCTTCTGTCACACAGCTTACCATCTGCTCCCTGGGCTACTTGTGAGCTCTCGGGCAGCAGGGACCCTGATCACTGTATCATGAACGAATGTGGATTAACAACCTAGGAGAAATGCGGACTTTGGAAATACCCTTAAGTTTGCCAGATCGCCAAAACTTGTACCGATTTTTCCTCCAAAAGTGAAAGGAACAATAACAAAATCAGTATGTCTTGGCTGAAGGTAAAACAAAAGCCCCAGAAAAGGGGTCAGAGCTCCTAGCCTTGGCAAAGGGACCACAAGGTTGTATGGGAGAACTCCACAGCCACCACTGTGCCCTGCCTGTAAGGACAACAGGATTCACTCCTTTGTGTCACCAGCCTTGGAAAACCCCCAACATGCATGCCTCCAGGCTCCGCCATCATTTCCTGGACTGTCCCACCACACCATAGCCCAGAATGACAGCTCCCAGGAGAGGCGTGTTCTGGAATCTCATCTTCACATTCCAATAACTGGACCAACTGGATTTGAGTATAAAAGGTCTAGGGAAGGGCTCGGGGCAGGATGAACTTCTCTCCAGCTGCCAAGCTCCAAGGCAGTACTCTAGGTAATGCCATTCTGCCCCATCCGCTGCCTTAACCTCACGTTGCCTTCAACAACAGAAGACAGAGGTCAGCGCATCTTGTCCTAATCAGAAGGTCAAGACGTCTTCCTGCTCTTGGCATTCATGGTCAACTTAGAGCAGTCCCATCTTTGTACAAATGAATAAAGTAAAGCCCCAAAGGGGACCCAAGGTATGAGAGAGGCAGAGCCTCCTGCCTTCAAGACCTCCAAGTACAGGGACAGCTGGATTCCACCCCGCCATGTTCACTGTTCCCCAGTGGACCAGACTGGTGAGGACTCAGAACATGGTTCCCCGCCCCACCAAACCTCACCTGCAGATAGTGATAAGTCCTGGCTTTGGCCTTGGTCTCTGGACCCAGGAGCCCCTTGCCTGGCCCGGCCCCTGGGTATCCGTCCCGGCCCTGGTTGACCATCATGGTATGCCAGGCACTTCGCTTGACCGACTGTCCATCCAGTGACATGGACATGCCAGTGCATGCAAGGCAGCGGCCTTCTGACCCGCCCGAACGGCCCTTGAAGCTCAAGTCCCGGTAGGACCCGTCTGGAGCGTCCAGGCAGAAGGGACCCCCAGGCTCTCCAGGGGGCCTCCCACCCGCCAGAAAGCCACTGTCACTGTCCAAATTGTCATCAGAGCTCCACCAGCCTGTGGCCTTGGTCTGGTGGCGCCCATCCCCCTTGCGGTCCTTGCTCTTGCTCCGTTTGCCATGCCGGGACTGGTGGTGATGGTGATGGTGGTGGTGATGGTGGTGGTGAGAGGTGTGAGGACCTCCAGAGCCTGGGCCAGGGTAGCTGTCTCCCCCAGAGCCACCTCTTCCCTCGGCCTTGGGCCCATTGTAGTCTCGCTTCCCGGGTGCCTCCAGAGAGTGGGACTTGGCAAAGAGCTTCTGCACAGAGTGAACCAGGTGCCGGATGCGGCTAGGACTCTCGCTGCGAGCCTCAGGGGCAGGGCCAGATCCAGGTCCAGGCCCAGGCCCTGCTGGACCTCGCTGGTATGGGAGTGTGTGGAAGCCATCTTGTTGAACTGGTAACTGCTTTTCAAACTGATCCAGGAGTGTGGGAGGCAGGCGGGTGGCACCCTTGCCCTGTGGGTGGCCCACACAGTCTTCACAGGTGTCGAAGGGGCCCTGGCCGGGGTACATCCTGGGGAAGGTACTGCTGCCTCCCCCAGGCCCCACCCCCCCTGGGCCTCCCTCAGGACCTACAGATGATGGGCCCTCACTCAGGCTCAGGGGCCCTTCTGGAGAAAGGTGTCCCAGGCCAGCTCTTGGAGCACAGAAGCGGGGCTCGGTGGAGAAGGCCTCCCTGGAGCCCAGCAGGTACGGGGCCCTGGCAGCTGGGCCCACGTCCATATGCTGCTGGTCAGCAAAGCGGGCTGGGCGGGGATGGCTGCCTCGGTCGCCATGGTAACCCCTCATGGCCTCAGCAAAGGCTCTTCATATTGTTGGGGGCCAGGCCCCAGGAACCTCCTGAGAAAATAGGGAGAAAAAGGATTTGGACTGAACAACAGGCCACTTCACCTAAAATCCTCTTTCACTAGGCACCGTGGCATCCCTGGTGGTAGTGCATACCAATTTATTGTGATTAATTATACTGTCTCTCCACACAGGGACTGAAAAGTCCTTAAAACAGTCATAACAGACAAAGAGACAAGGGCGCAAAATAATCCCATCATTCATCAGTGCTGCAAATTTGATAAATACTTATTCACGAGAGGGAATGCTTTCAGCCAAATGGGCTTTTAAATATCCTTAGATTATCAAAAACAAAAGGAGACCCAAGCAGACATACAACAGAGTCAAAGAAACCCATCATTAGGTGAACTGGCTTTTAACACGCTAAGCTGTAGCAAATTGATCCACAGCCATCCCTCTGCCCCAACGCTATCCCACAACCCTCTACTGCCGATGTCAGGCCTTGGAGACAGAGCACCATGATGGAAGACGACACTAACTTCAAGTCACAGCTCCATGCCACTCCCTAACACCCCTCCCCCTCCACATCGACTTCCCCGCATTTGACTGCAGCATCCTCCCCACCCCTTGGGAATTCCACAGGCAGGAAAACCTGAGTTGATTCTGTCTACCTTTGCTGGCTTCCAGACACTCCCCACAGCCCACCCCTTCCCATCACCCTTTGCCACACTCCCTCTCCATGGAGGGCACGGTGGAGGCAGGAAAGACTCCAGAGAAGGAATGCTGGTTAGACTAGACAACATGTGACCACCAGACTGAGACTGGAACCCAGGAGTTCTTACTCCCAGGAACAGTGGGTGAGTGAGGCCAGGAGCCAGTGGAGAAGCCACTGTGAACCAATCTTTCTGGCCCCCATCCCAGGCTTGCCAAGGCTACAGGACAAGAGAGGTCAGCTCTCAGCAAGAATTGCCTCCCATCAGGACTCCAGGAGCTGCCAGGACAGGAGCTCCGGGCAGGAGGAGGTGGCAGCAGGAGGGACAGGGACAGAGGATCTGGCAGACGGAGCCCTCCCCCATCCCAGACCAGCTCCTGGGCCATCTGCTAACTAGGAGAGAACGGCCTCAAAGACTCCAGACAGCAGCACCTCCTAAAACTCCATCTCCCTTCCTCCCCACACCGACACACCCCTCACCCACTCTGCTCTGGCTTCTTCCAGACCCTGCTCGCAGCTCGGCTCCTCCTAGTTCCCTAACACTAGTGATGCACGGGGCATTGTGCACACCTCACTGTCTCTATGTCGACAGAAAATCCTGTCATGTAGACATTATCCACACTTACCGTGAGAAAATGGAGCTCAACATGGGGAGATGGAAAAGCCAATAAATGGGCTGAGTCACTTCGAATCAAATATTTGGGTTTGAGACTCTGAATAAATCTCCATCTCCCAAATTCCCTAATACTCACCATCCGGGGTGTCCCATCCTTGACGTCAGGATCCCCACCACGAGGTAGAATCCTAACTTCAGCAGGCGCAGGACCACTGGCTCCTGACAGACAAGAAAGAAGGCAGCAGTCACACTAGAGGAGGAATGAGGCTTCTCCTGGAGTCCTCAGGACAGGTCTCTGGCCTGACAATTTTCTTTCCCAACCCCCCAAACCAGGACTGGTTGGATACCCCATGATGCAGAGGCTTCAGACCCTCAGGGAAATGAAGTTGGCTTCATTATGCAAATGTATGCAAATGCACTCACAGGTTGGACTACCTCCAATTGCAGGTGTCGGTGTGATCTGTCTATGGTGTTCAGCTACAGCATTTTCATTGCCCTTAAAGGTGGCTGCATTCCACAGACATCTGTAGAGCGCCTACTGCAAGGCAGACTGAATGAGAAGTGTACCGAGGTCATTTAAGAGTGGCCCCGTCCTTAAAGGGTCTGAAGCCTCAAAGGACAGAATTATTGGGTTCCTATATTCTGGCACAAGCTGTTCCTTCCTCTTTGAATCGCCTCTCATCTTCCCACAAGCTCTCCTCCCGGCTAACACTTACTCATATGAAGCCTCACCTTCCCATGGAGACTTGCTGTACTCTTTATTCTGGGTTATGCCTCTCATTTGGGCTTTTATGACACTCTGGGTACCCCCAAGGAAGCAGCGAACATGCTCCACTGAAATTGTTTGCTTCGGCCTCCATCTCCCCCAACTGCCACGGTCTCCAGCAAGGCGAAAAATAGGCCCCGGCCATCTCTGACTTGAGCCCGTGCTAAGTGGGTGTTTGTCTGAGTAGATGAGGAAATGGCTGTGCCCGAGAGAGAGGACAAAATGCCAGGCTAGCTTGAATTAACAGCTAGACCAGATTCAGAAGATAACAGTCAAGGAAGGCTTCCCGGAGAAAGATGCATTTGAAGTATAATATGGGTTAGAGAAAGGTGGGTGTGGGATGATTCCCAGAAAACAGTGGGTACAAGGTAGACAAAGAATGCAAATACCAAATTCTGAGGGGTGGTCTGGGAAAGTTCCAGAAGGTGGTTAGGGTTTGGCAAATACTAGGAGAGAGGAAGAGAGGGGGAGAGAGAGAAAGGGAGAGAAAGAGAGAGAGAGAGAGAGAGAGAGAGAGAGAGAGAGAGAGAGAGAGAGAGAGAGAGNGAAAGTTCCAGAAGGTGGTTAGGGTTTGGCAAATACTAGGAGAGAGGAAGAGAGGGGGAGAGAGAGAAAGGGAGAGAAAGAGAGAGAGAGAGAGAGGGAGAGAGAGAGAGAGAGAGAGAGAGAGAGAGAGAGAGAGAGAGAGAGAGAGAGAGAGAGAGAGAGAACGACTCTGGAATATGTGGCAGCCTTGACTGGGAGGACTAATGAAGCCATTATTAGACACAGAGATGTCAGAAGGAAAAGCTAGCTCTGTGGGCATGATTAATAACAGTGAAGGAGGCACACTCAGACATCAGGACGAACTTCCTGGCCCCGAGGACTGTGACACAATAAAGAAGATTGTGGAAGTTGGTGGAATCTTCTAGAGAGTAAAGGTTCAGATATGTGCAGCTCCCAGCTCTGGGGCCTGGACCAAAGGAGCTATTGGCTATCTTGCCTAGAGGAACACGGGAGTAACCTTATTGATACCAAAAGCCTGACTCTATGGCAATTCTTCTTCATTGTCCTTTTGCTAGGATAACAGAGGGGAGTTCAGACCAAGATGGTTTAAGCTCTCATAGAAAACCATTTGAGAACCAAGTCCCCCCTGGGGTGGAGCTTCGACTAGCCTGGACCTTTGTCCGTGGCATATTCCTTTTGCTGCCCCAAGAAGGACATAGATGTGACAAAGGCCACTTTGGCTGAACCTCGCGCCATCCCATTTACCTTGCCTATATTCATACCAAATGGAACCTCACACTGAACTCCCGGATGCTGGGTGTTTGCAGATGGCCCTCCCACGACCTTCCCACACCTGCTGCCACCAAGTTGCTGGGCTGCCATCAAACTGCTTTGTTTTGCTTTCTTCTCCTTAAGATTTATTTTATGTGCATGAGTGTTTTGCCATCATGCATGTCTGTGCATCACCCGTGTGCCTGGTGCCTGCCAAGGTCAGAAGAAGATGCCAAATCCCCTGGAACTGGAGTTGCAGATCACTCTGCACTACCGTGTGGGTGTGGGAAACAAACCCAGAGCCTAGCAAACAGTCTTAACCACTGAGCCACCTCTCCAGCCCTAGGACTCCTTCTATAGCCAAAGATGACCTTGAACTTCGATCTTGCTGCAACCACCCACTAAGTGCTGAGATTAGAGGTGTGAGCCACCCCATCCAGCTAGCCATCAAGTTCTTCACAAACTTGATTCTCAGTCTCACCAATTCACGTTCCTTTAGCTCTAGTCTCGGACAATGACTCCTCTCCAGACAGACACCTCACACCCATGCCCTACAACAGGAAAGAACTGTCTAGCAATAAAACACAGCCCCAGGACCAGGTCTATGGTATCAGACAAATGGCATGGTCTTCTAAGCTTCATAACACCTGCTCACACATCACGCAGGACTTCAGCGAACTTCAAATGACGCAGTGCACATGAAGCCATTTTAAAGCCCTAGAAGACCAGGGCCAGTGAGACGGCTCGGTGTGTAGAAAAGCACTGGTGGCCAAGCCTGACAACCTGAGTGGGGCCCACAAAGAGCCACAAAGGGAAGGGGAAAACAGATTCCCAACGGTTGACCTCTGACCTCCACATGTGGCTCATGGCATTTGTGCACACCCCCATGAACACACACACACAGAGATACACACAACAGTTGCCCTCTGACCTCCACATGTGGCTCATGGTATTTGTGCACGCCCCCATGAACACACACACACACACACACACACACTAAGTAAGTAAATAACAAAATTAAAATTTAAACCCCCCAAAGATTGCACAGTGTAATCGCTAACATAACACCTTTATTTGTCCATTGTTTTCCATTTTCAAAGATGTGTTATTTTCAATTATGTGTATGTTGTATGTCTGTGTGGGGTATTCACATGTGAGTACTGATGGTCACAGAGGCCAGATGCCGCTCAGCCTCCTGGGGCTGGAGTTACCAGTGGTTGTGAGCCACCCGCATGGTGCTAGGAACTGAACGTGGGTCCCCTGCCAGTGCACTAAGGCTCTTAACACTGAACCGTCTCTCCAGGCCATACTTTTTTTCTTTTCCTTTTTTTTCATTGAGACAGGATTTCGCTACGTATCCCAAGCATGGAGGCCCTCTTTCCTCAGCCTCTTGCGTGTTTAGATTACGTATGTGTTCAAGAAAACCCACCAGAAGCCTTTATCTGGGGGGGTCTAGACCCTTCGGCTAAATACAAGTTACTGAAGGAAGGGGATATTCCATTCCTGTATTTCCTAAAGGAAAAAAAAAATTTCATCTCTTGTAGCCCAAGTCAGCTCTAAATTCCTAACACAGCCAGAAACGACCTTGAGTTTCTGATCCTCCTGCCTCCACCTCTAGAATGCTGGGATTACACACGTGGGCCACCACACCC